AAAAAAAATTTTAGCAGGCAAATTTGCCTGTATTACAGTTTAAGAGATAATAGTAAAAAAAAAATAAAATAAAGAAAACACTGCACAATAACTTCATAAAATATATTATAAAATTTATTTAATTATGTGCTGCCATTCTTGTTCATAACAATTAAGATTATAAGAATATGCAATTAAATTTTGCTTTTTTGCTATGTCATTTATCTATAATAAGTGTAATTGATTTTTAATTCAGCATAAGTACTAAATATAATTAATGATAGAATCCTACCTTGTTTGTATTAGTTGGTAGAAAATAGGTATACTACAATTCTTCGCTTATATATTTATCCATATAGAATTCTAAAGTATTTGTTTCTATGGGAGTTTAAATTGGTTCTATAATAATAGATCTTCTATTCAGCATAAATAAAGAATATTGTGGTACTATTTATAATAGATAGTATATAAAGATAATAAAAATTATACTTGTATTGGCCATAATATCTTTAATACGAATATATAAATTAAATTCATCTTGGATATTCGATACTTACAGTATGTACGTATATTAATTTTAAATTCTACTCAAAATCAGTATAAAAAGAAAATATGAAAAAAAGTTAAATTTTCTGAACTCTCTTTTTTTCTCACAAGTTCAAAATTTGATACCCAAATATTTAAAGTGACATTATATCAAAATTACTCTTTTCATTCGTATAGTTCACAAAATATAACTTTGTTTGTCTTCTATTTACTATCATAACATACTTTCGGTTGTTTCCTATTTACTGCCACAACATATCTTCATTGTTTACTATTTATTACCACAAACATACTTTCGTTTGTTGCCTATTTCTTACCAAACATACCTTACAAACTAGCTATGCATTGTTTAATACTGAATTTAGCAATAGTTCAGAGATTGGTAACCAACAATTTGAACTTAACCAAATTAACTATATAAATATCAATCAAGAATATGGTAATCAACAATCATATGAAAATAGCAACCAAGAATATAATGACCAAGGATATAATGACCAAGGATATAGTAACCAAAAATATAGCGATTAATAATCTTACCATGAAAATCTAGATCAAGATTATAGTAATGATATAGAATGTAATCAGGATGATAACTTGAGTTATAGCAATCTAAAAACATATATTATGAAAATGAATTTAGTGAAAATGTAAATAGCAATAGTTGCGATGAAATTGAATCAACATCAATCGATATAGATAACGCACCAAAGATATTTGATGCGATAAAATTTGATATAAATTGGAATCACGAGTATCTATTTAGATTTTTTGAAAATTTCACAAATATAGCCATGTTCACATAGGTTACTAGGCATACTATATATAAATATTTTACTTATTGTTATGAATTATAATGAATTTGAAGCTTCTATTTAGCTTTCTAAATCCTACTTATATATTTTTACTATAAATTTTACCTTAAAGCTAACCTTTTATGTTAACAAATATTAACAAAATGTATCTCAAAGTTTTATGTTTTTCTGTGACTTGTCTATTTTATACTATACAAAATTTCATTTCAATCTGATTTCATTTTAATCTTTCACACCTATTATCTATTTACAAATAATAATTTTTTTTAGCGACTGCAGCATATCAAGACTTAATACAAATCGTGCATCATCCTTGATTCAAAATAAAGCATTTAACTACTAACTTACAGTGTCTTAAAAAACTATGCGAGCGATTACTATTAATAAAGATTCAAAGTCATGTGGTTCTAATAAATACCAAGAATATACTATCAACATCCAAAAATTCTACACACATTTATTATTTTTCTCTAATTAAGCATATTCAACATATATTAAAAAACCTATCTCTTAGTTCTCATTTATATTTTGAGTCAGGTATTTTTTCAAAATTATACGAAAAATTATAAGAAGAGGATCTCTGGGCTAAATTTCCTCTTTTTGGTTTGTTAAGCTTAATTACAGTACAAGGTATTAAAAGATTAGCCTTATTATTGTTGGCATTATATTTTATACAATTTATTAAATAATTTTTATTAAGTTTCTTTAACTGTAGAGATTTTGTTAAATATCACTCAGCTTCAGAAAATATTAATGTTGGTTGAATCAGATCTTTTGTCATTATAGATAAAAAAATAGCAGCACGAATTCAATGATTATTTTCTTATAATCAAGTTTCATAGTACCTACATTCAAAACTATATATATCATATTCATTACAAGAATTGTATTTGGTTGAAGAACCAGAACCCTTTATTATTGACACTTCAACATTACTTTGTTGTCTAAATGTCTGGCTCAAGGATTAGCCTGTTTTATCTAAAGTTAATTTTTTTGTTAGCAAAATACTATATAATTATAATAGCAGATAGAAGTTTCGTTTAATAAAATTATGTCACCAACACCCTCTGAGCACATATCTATCATACAATCAACAAATTCAAATATGCCAGTTCTTAAGTTTTATTTGGATTTATATTATGATGACTTCGGCACCTTTAGAAATACATATAATACTTTAGGTAGTATTTATTTGCAGATCAGTAATATGCTATGACGATTAAAGAAAAAACTTTAAAATCACTTTATAATAGGACTAGTACCTTTTGGTAGAAATTTTAGAGATTTTATAAAAGTTTTTATTGAGAAGGTTTGGCAACTTGAGCAAGGTTTAGTAATGAATATAAATGGTGTAGATTGCTAGATTTCAGGTAGGCTGGCTATGGTTATAGCAGATTTGCACAGAGGAATAATATCTCAGGTGTATTACACCACAATACTAATTTTGGATGCCACAGTTGTAAAGCCTCTAAGAATGAATTAACGAATATTACGTTCAATATATATTCCAATAGCTGATATCATCAAATAACTGATCAGAAATTCAAAAATATTAATGAACAACACACAAATTCAGTAAAATTACAACTTTTTTCACAGTATGGGTTATGATTATTACTAGGTCCCACTTGATTCTATCCTTTATGACTATCACTAATATATGCTGCAGAATACATATCACGCTATTGCAGGAAAAATCACACATTTTCTTAACTGCACTTGTTTTATTCTAACAGAATAAGGTGAAAGTAATTTAACCAAATATTGGAAATATTTTGAAGTCCTAACTAGATAGGTGTGTTTGCCAAATTTAATTTCTCATAGATATTCATTTATGATATTAGACATTTTGTGCCTTTCAATGATACTTCTTTCATATTAAACTGTTTTTTAACAATTTATGATATTAAGCCTACTTTTTTAGATGAGACAAAGGCTCAGTTAAATTTTTCTCGCAAAACTGAAGTTATCAATTGTTTGATTCGAACTTGGGGACTTTCTGCAAGAGCCAGTAAAAATGTTTTTTTATTAACTATTAATAGATCGCATGGGTATTATCAGCTTCAAAAAATTTTAGATAAGGAATTTAAAGCATTAATCAAGGTGATTTACTATTATTTATTTTAATTATAAATGCTTAAATAACAAATTGATTATATATTTAAATATTATATTGTTAAATAACAAATAGATTTTTTTTAATTTAATTATACACTTTAATTAACTTATATTATATTTATTTATATATATTATATTTATTTAAATAATTTAAGTTATTTCTTGACAGTTTCTGAAACATTCCAAATCTTCATATAAATTGACACCTGGTAGATCATATGTACCAATATGCAATATATGTTAATTTAGCATTTGGTGTTAAAGAAATTGTATGCAGAATCTTTAAATCAATTGTGTCGCATATAAACAAACACAATCTTGAACTTACATTACTTCAGTAAGTTAACACTTTGCAAACATTGAGATACTTAGCAGATGAAGAAGTAGATGACCATATGAACAATATAGCATCACTATTATTCAAAAAGTTAATTATTGAACTATGATTATGTCATTTACTTTCAGGCTGGTATATTGACAATAGTAATCTTTCCATTCACATACTTCAGGAATCTGTTCAAGGTAATGTAAAACAATCTAATCATATTAAATATATATTTCAATTAATATTAAGTGATTTAAGGAGCTATGGTTTAAGGGCATATTTAATTAAATTTGAATAATTAGATAATTCTGCCAATATTAATAGTTTCTCACTTTTTAATTGTTTGGAAATCAAACTTGGGTCAAAATGGGACAAACAGAAAATTAAAGTGCCAGTTTTATTTCTAACAATTTTGAAACTAATAAACTTTAGAGAGTATTATGCATGTATATTCTTCATACTTCTCTATCAAACAGGCACTATTAAATACAACAAAAATTAGATATTATCAAAATGTTTCTTATTCAATAATAGAGCCTAATAGTAATTATCAGGACATAAGATTTAATATTGGTGAAGCAGTTGAAGCTACTCTTTCTAATGATAAGCAACCTGTGTTCAGAATGGTCAAAGGAATAATTGAACATTGATAGAACACAGTCAACTCTATGTATTTATCTATTTGGAATAGCTAAAATGCCTCAATAGATATGATGACTTATTGGATTGTTCTACTTATTGTCTTCAAAATCTTTGTAATAATTCTTAGGATCGAATCTATCCAATTTTTATCATGTCAAGATCACCAGATATTCTATTCATTCACAATTGTAAAACCAAATATTCACCACTACAGCATGATATTACAAATTAAGAATATATTTGAAATGATTTTTTTTACAGCCATTTAAAGAATTCTGATTTTTAATGCAATATTTACTTAAAAATATGATATAACAGCATTATTAGTAAGTTCTTATCAAAAAAATGCATGTCTTATAATTTAATTATTTTATTATATTTTATTTTATTTATTTATTTCTTTTTTTTAGAAAATTTAGTTATACACAATTTGTATTAAATCTTTTTGTACATTTTAGACACTATAACATATTTCACATGAATAATTAAAATTTTAGTAATCAAGCTTTACACTTTACGATGTTCAAAAGATGCCAAGTAAAAGGCTTGAACAAAATGTAGTGTATCATCCATTCACTGAAGCTCAAACTAAAATGCGATTATAATTTTTTGATATGTTGAGGTTTCATGAAAATACAAAACAATATTGTGATATATCAGAAACTCAAGGTTTGTGCTAAAATTACATAAATTTTATTTTCTACTATCATAATAATTATTAGATTCTATGAGTTGCTACCAACAGATCAATGCCAACACTCAAGAAAAGTTTGATAATGTCACTAAACAATAACTTAATTTCATCAATCTATGATACTGTCGATTGTCAAATCAGAATATTTGATGATGGTCTTCGAAAATTTGATGACAAACAAATAAGTGGCCCAGAAATGATAAGCTTTACTGCAACAGTCAGCTTGTTTCATAAAGAAAACACATGAAGCAACTTCAAAACTGAGAAAAATGATGCATATGATACTCATTAAAGTGGTTCAAAAAAAAACATTTTTTAACATTACTAATTAAGTTTTTATAACAGATATCCAAAGAAGTCATACAAATATTTATAAAAACACAAAATTTGAGATAAGGTATTTGACTATGCAGACATAATTTTGCTGGTAGGTTAATTCATAATTTGCGTATATCATCATTCAGGTCTTTGTTAAAATTTTTACTGATAAAAATTAAAAATAAATTATAGAAACAGATTCTCTGATGTCGAATGAAAAGTATATATATAAAAGGTTTATATGGTTAGGATTTTTTGAAAAATTTGACATAATGTTTAATTCGTTATTAACAGAATCAAAATCGAGAAAGATGAAAGCCTATGAAATAGGTATGCTGGTAGAATACATAATACCAGAATTGAGATAGATAAAAAGGTGTTTGAATAGCCATGAAATCACAGAAGTGCAATGCTAACAGAATATTTTGAAAATAGCTGGGAAGATTATAAAATTCGAAAAGTTGATATTGAATAATGTATATATAATATATATAATTGCTTTGTAGTTATTTTTATTAAAAACACATATATATACAATTATTTTTACAATAAAGCAATATTATATTACAAATATAACAAAAATATGTTGCAATAATTATCTTATAAAATGTAAATATATTTATAATTAAATGCAATTATATTGAAAATACAGTCAAAAATTTTTGCTATCATAATATTATATAATTTAAATTAAAAGGCAATTAAATATACTAAAATTAACCAATTTATTAAAAATTATGTGAATAAAAAGTTTATTATCATCACTGTTAAGTGGTTTAATTTTAGCAATAAAATTAGATAAAAATTAGATAAAACGTTGTCATTTTTTACCAAGTTTAATTTTTACAAAAATTAGTAAAAAAACCTTATTTAGATTTATAGTAATAATATTAGATGTGGATATGATGAATATAATTATAAAAATGTAATAAGCTTTGCTACGAGAAAATTATGCAGTAAGATAATATCATTAATTGTGGGCATGAAATTTAAAATATTCAAAATATTTTGAATATTTTGAAATATTATAATATCAAAAATTTTCAATAAATATTTTGAAATATTTCAAATTATTTTTCAAAATTTTTATTATTTTTGCATATCACAAATTATTTCAAAATATTTTGGTCTTATAAATTTACTGATGGCAAATGGACCAGATTTTGCAGCAGTTTACCAAGCCAAAATAAATGTTCACTAAAATAAAGGAAAGGCACAGAATAGTGCACCGTGATTGACATATGAGGTACGGGATAGTTTCTTTTTACCGTACTATTTTTGGCACATTTATCTGTAAATTTTAAACAATAAATAGACCAGATTTTGCAGCAGTTTACTAAACCAAAATTCACAGATTTTGGCACAGCTTTTGACATGTTTTTCTATGGAAATTGCAGTGAAGGAACAGTTTGTGGACTGTGATTTGCACATTAAATTTTTTGTAGAGGTATGTAATAGTTGTTTTTTCTATGCCATTTTTGACTATACTACGTGCCACTTTTTCTTACAGGGGGTATATAGAGTAAATTAATAACTTTTCTAATATATAATATCAAATTTTATAACTAGCAAAAATATAATATATTTTATTATGTATTTTCATAATATACTTAAATAAATATATATTTTAAACTAACTCAATAATCTAAATTTTAATATAAAATAATTTAAATTTATTTTGCTAAAATATTATGAGTTAACTATAATATTTATCAACAAGAATTTTTGCAGAATTAACAGGTTTACTTGGTAAAGTTTCTAATATTATTGATATAAAATAATTAGGTTTAAATAAATATCTAATTTTTAAAATAAATATCTTTAATACCTTTAATTGCATCTGTTATTCTTTGCGTATTTATAATTTACTACTATATACAATGTCAGGATGTTTTGGTATGACAATGGCAATTTTTTAGTTGGTTTGTCTGCTTTTAAGAATTGTTTTTAATCTCATTCGCATCATCTGACTTTGCATATATTTATTCCAATATTCAAATTTATTTCAAACACTATTAGGAACTTCAAATTTATTTCAAATGCTATCAGAAACAGGCCATCTTTGTTAGGGTCCGGAATCAGGCTGGGCTACCCAGGGCCCAGCCCGACCCGGCCCACAAAAACCCAGCTTAGCAGACTTTTTTAGGCTGTAATTATAGCAGGCCAGGCCGGGTCAAGACCAGGCTGGATTGGGCCTTATAAAAACGCCTACAAACTCCAAAAAAACGTTAATCTGAGTTACAGGCCTGGCCTAGCTGGGCCCAAACCTGATTAGATGTTTTGGGTTCGGGTCTAGTTTAAACTGGGTTTATAAAAGCCTGGCCTGACCTGGCACGACCTGCCCAATTCCGGACCCTAGTCTTTTTGGATCCGAATCCATGCACTGCAGAACAAATTTACTGTAATATCAATTCGAAGTCCCATGTGCAAACTCTGGTTGCAATCCATTGCAAATTTTGACTGCAAGTTTTGCATCGAATTTATATCAATCAAAAGGTTTTTGTCTGGTTGATATTTAATATAATAAATGTTTTTGTAAATTACCAACCTAATAAAATCTCTGGTGTGTTACATAAGAAATAATTTTAAAAATCACACTTTTTGAGTCATCATGATCCTTTTTGACAATTCTAGATCTAAGATTGTATATGCCTTCATTTTGTAAAATATTACCACTTTGAAAGTCTGTGTGAACATATCCTGCTCTATGAATTTGAAAAGTAGTTTTAATTTAGTTTGTTTTAAAAATTTGTGAAGACTCCTATTATTAGCATATTTGGTATTCATAAAGACAATTAGAAAGTTCATCGATCTAAATCTAAAATAATATTTATCAATTGATGCAAAATTCTTCTGCATTGTGACAACTATATTAAACAGCTATACATTATGAACTTTTAAGACTGGATTATTTACTGTAGCAGCTTATACTGAGATAAACCGCCATATGTATTATTATTATAATTATCTTCAATTATTCCACAAAGACAATAATGATTATGAGAAAATTTGTTTATCTTAATCAAAAATAATATTTATTCATTCGTTGATCCAACAATATTAAACAGTAATGTTAAATGCATACAAAAACTTTTGTATTTTTATATATTTATTATATAAATAATTCTATTAAACGTATTAATCATATTTTTTATCTATTTAAAAATATAAATCAAATTATTACTGTTTACAAATTATAGAATAAAGTTTATCATTTGTATACATACCAAAGCTTTTAAAATCATCAATAATATCAAGCTTAACTTGAGCAAAATCAGTTTGAGATAAATCTAAATAAAAAATAAAAATAAATAAGTAAATAATATATTTAAATAAGTATAGCATAGGTTTTAATATAGATTAATTGAAAAAATAAATACTTCTAAATGCATTTGAAATTAGTTTTTGTGCTGATAAGCATGATGGAAATTTGTTTTGATTGGCTAATCAACAAAAACTCTGATTGGCCAAAATTAAAAGAATTAATTTTCGT